CAAATGCAGGAAGGTAGGGAGATGTAATGTTGAGTTCAAGGGCTGGCTTATAGTCCAGTTGGACTGGAATGCATAAGATACGAAGTGAAATAATGTGAAATGAGCCTAGAAATGGAGGTGGGAGCTAGAAAGTGGAGGATGGTCAATACCAGTCTGAGCTGTTTGTATTTTATGCTTAAGCTAGGAGGGAACCATTGAAGGTTCTGACCAGGGCAATACTTGCTCACACCTTGATTAAGAAGAAAAGTCACACCCTTGCCTTATTTGGCAGCTATGTCCAGAATATTTTGGAAAGGGGAGAACTTGGAAGCAGAGATGCCAGCTAGGAGACTGTTACAATTATCCAGGAAGCAATTGGGCCCAAATTAGGATGTTGATGGTCAGAGGGGGCAGATCTGAAACTCTTACGAAGATTAATCCAAGACTTTGACAACTGATCAACTACAGGAGTAAAGGAGAAGAAACCGTCCAAGATGAATGAGTTTATGAACCTGAAAGGATGACAGAGTCTTCAACAGCAATTAGGTAATTTGGAGAAGGGGCAGGTTTAGAGGGGAATACCATGAGTTGTGCTTTGTACATACTGAGCTTGAGATGCTTGTAGCAAGCAGTTTGAATATACGTAACTGAATGGAGGGAACAAGCATTTATTAAAGTTCTTACTATGTGACAAGCACTTCTACAAATATGATATCATTTTGATCCTCACTACAAACCTGGAAGGTAGGTGCTATTATCATTCCCATTTTATAGATGAGGAAACTGAGGCTGAGAAAGGTTAAGTGACCTGCCCAGGCTAGTGAGTGTCTGAGGCTAGACTTGAACTTGAGACTTCTTGATTCCAACTTTGGCTCTATCCACTGTACCACCTAGCTGCCTCTGGAATTGAAGTTCAGATACCTTCATTTCAACTTCATTCTCTCTGCAAGTCTGGCAGGTTACCTTCTTATTTGTAGTAAACTCTTTAAAAAAATCAATAAATGTGTAATGAAATGGATTTTAAAGTCCTGGGTATCCCACAAAGGGACACCCAATTGTCACAGACCAATCAAGTAGCTAAAAACTGAAAAGCCATGGATTTTTATTCATTCTCCCACCCATTATCGAAGAGGCAGCTTCCTGTCTTTCTAAACTTTCACCTTGACTCCCCTACTCTTCAGCCCAGCAACACTGCCCTATTTCAGTTCCTCGAAAATGGCACCTCATCTTCAATTCCATGCCTTCGCCCTAGTTGTGCTCCGTGCCTACAATTCCTTCTCCTCTTACCTCTGAATCTTGGCTTCCCTGATGTCTTCCAAGACTCGGCTCAAAGCTCCCATTCTGAAGGGGGCCTTTCCTGCCCCTCCTTATCAGCTGATGCCTTTTTTTGGACTGCTATCCACCCTCTGTATATCTTGTATGTAGTTAGTTATTTGCATGTTTTCTCCCCCGTTAGAAAAAAGATCTTTGGCAGTAAGGATTGGGGTTTTTTTTGTATGTGTGTGGTTGTTGTTGTTTTGAAGGGGGTAGAATTTGGTATTTTTCTTTGTATCTATTTCCACACAGTACAGTGCCTGATACTTAGTAAGGGCTTAATAAATGCTTGTCCCCTGGCTATATAGAATCAGGAGACCTTGGTATTAGTTCTGACCTTATGACTCTCTGTGTAACCTTGGGCAAGTGACACAGGCACTCCGGATCTATCTCTTCACCTGTAAAAAAAGGGTTCAGATCAAATGATTTGAGATCCTTTCAGTGCTATGATTCTATGGAGAAACCAGCTACTTACATTAAACTATCAAGTCTGTTAAATGAAAGGTTGAACTAGATGGATGATCTCTAAGGTTTCTTTCAGACTTAAATCTGTAAACCTAAATTCAGACCTAAATCTATAAACTCAGGTCTTCGGGTGCTTAGTATTCTAGGCCCAGTACTCTGTCCCCAAGGAACTCACAATCCAGAGCAGAGGTATCAAATACCAGGCTACGTGTGGCCTGCAATACTCCCTAGTGTCCCTGAACCAGATTAAATGTAATCTGGAAATATTCCACAAAATAAATAAAAATACAATAAAACATAGATAGCATCATATTAAAAACTAAGTCAATATGCAGGTACAGGGATCCTTACGTACAAGTTAGTGGTCCTGCTATGTGTCTGACACCTCTGTTAGAGGAAATAAAACTCAACGGGCAAAAATAACTGGAGAATAATTAAATGTAAACTAGGCAATACCCAAAAGAAAGAGATTAGTATATATTGGAGGAGTTGGGGAAGAAGCTAGATAGAGGCAAGGGAAATGTGAGATCATTCCAAGTTGGGGAGGAAGGGAGGGGAGAGATGATAGAATATGAACAAAGAGCAAAGTGGTTCAAGGAATACGTGTGACGAAGGCAGGTCAGAGAGGCCTGTTCTTCAGGAAAAACCACAAACAAGGCCTCGTTGATTCTACGGATAAACAAATGGGGGAAATCAATCCTGAATCTAAATGGCTGGAACTTGTCAGGGGAGGATGGTTGGTTCACTCTTGCCAGAGAGAGTCCTTCAACCCAGTAACCATTACCTACCTCTTCAGGTCAGGGATTTTGTTAACATCAGTCAGGGGACTTCAACTTGCCCTTCAAAGCCTCTGGAAACCTCCAATATTATTCTATGCCTGGAGTTATGGTGTTGTCTTAATTCTCTATTTAGACAAGGACTTTTTAGTTGCCTCCATGGAAATGCCTGTTGTGTCCACGCAGAGGGAAAGCTTTCCACCAGCAGCATCTCTAAAATATGTTCTAATGATCCACATTAGAAAATATCAGCTCTTTGGCAATGGTTGCTTCAGAACTGTTATTGTTGTTGTTGTTGTTGTTGTTGTTGTTTCCTTTCTTGTGCCTCTGTAATTTTATTTGGATGACTAAATCTCTGGACTATGTCAGCCATATACAGAATTTATTTACCTCCTACTTCTTTGAAACAGCTGCTGACAGCTGTACTGTAATTCAATCAAGGATCTTTGCTGTTGAACCTACCAAACATTCGGAATTTTTTGTTGTTTCATTTCATGTTGTTCAGTCTCTCCTGCACCGAGACCCAAAACAGCTGCATCAGAGACTGACATTCACTTTTAGGCAGAGCCTACTGGCAGAAGTGAGCAGTGTATCAGCAGTGTATTGATATAGCATTTTATAGGAAGAGTTCAAATATTGGAGCCTCAAAAATTCATCAGGCAGGTATCTGCAAATATCATAATTCCCGTTTTACAAATGAGAAAGCTGAGGCTGAATGACTTGCCCAAATGGGAAATCCATGATTTGAATCTTCTGATTCAATCCAGTGGTCCTGGCACCACACCTTATTTTGGTCACAGATTTTTTAAAATTATTTTCATAATTATTTTGACATATGGTTTCCTTTGTAATCCTATGTATTTCATGAAATGTATTTTAAAACATTCTGAGAAGGGGTCTGTAGGCTTCTTCAGACTGACAAAAGGATATATTACACAAAAAGGATTAAGGTCACCATGTTATTTGGTGAACGATACCACTCTCTTCCACATCACCTACCTCCTAACCCCACAGGCCAGGTTTAGGGGGAAAATGATCACAAACCAAGCTTTTTTGCAGTAAAAAGTCAAAATGCTTTATTTTTCTATTTTTGTACAAAATTTCTCTAAGGACTGCTCTATTGGAAGGAGAGGAAAAAAAACAGAAGTGTACATATCTGTCCAACTGTTAAAATAAATATTTTCTTAAATAAGGAAACAAAAAGTGTTTAAAGAGATGAAAATCATTTTCCTGAACAAGTGATTAAAGAGGAAACTGGGATGGAAATAAATAATTTTTCTGTCGTGACAACTATTTACACTTAAAATGTACAAACACACAAGTAAGCTGACCCAGCAGCCACAGGAGCCTGGTCTGGGTAAAGGACTGAGACAGTAGTGACTATGGGATTGCTTATGCCTCGAGCCAACAGACTATGACCCTAAAGTCCTCAGCTCAGCCTAAACAGAATATTCTGCCCCCAGCTGATGAAGTATCACAGTCTGACCTACTGGGAAGCAGCAGGCGACAGGAAGCCCAATATTCCTGGAAGCCAATTTAGCTGAGGGATGCACAAAAAATTTTTTCACCCTTGAAATAAGTATTTATTTTTCAATATCCCCATATGACTCAATCCGTGATAAACTTGTCCTTTGTGCTCGCTACTTGGGATATAGGAACCATTGGATAAAGTCTTAATATTTTGCAAGTTGGCTCAAAACAGTTTTAATAAGGCGCATGGTACAGATTTGAATCATCACTTGGAAGGTTTAAAAAGGCACCGAGTCACCCTCCCTCCCCCTTGGTCCCTTAGCATCAAGAAACTAATCAGAAGAAACAGGCAAAGACTGATTAATGAAAGCATGGCCTTGAGTTTCTGACTTCAGGATAGCATACCACACTCACAAAGCCATGTTTAATGGGTATGCCATTCCATCCTCAAATGCAAAGGGAAGCCTGGCAGGTTAACTTTGAATCTAATTTACAGGCTAGAGATTGTTTTAAGCATAAACTAACTATATTCAAACATCTGAGACATTTTCAAATCAAGTGCTTTGCAGATATGGGTTCATAATGTCTGTCATTAGAACCTCATGTTTAGGTAATTTGCATACAACACATAATGGAAGTCCTTCTCTGAGGTCCGAGATACATGACACTCACAAGGGCCTTTACTGGACCCCAAATTCTGAAACAATTTTCTAAATCTCAAAAACTTGATAACTCAAAAAGGCAGCTCAGAGACCAGTGCTATAGGGACCCGGACCCAGTAGTGGCTTCTCAGAACTCCTGATTTTGTTAGTTCAGACATTGCATAGCCTGTGTAACACCCAAAGTTCAGAATTACGGAAGTGATTTGCCACTTGTCTCCCTGGCCCCCCTTGGTTTCAGATTTAGACAGTTTTCCCCCACAATAGCAAATCAGATTTCTGCCGGTATTTAACATGCCTATTTAATCTCTGGCACACACAACACAAATACAGAGAGTGAACACGTCCTTTGGAGTTTATTTACTTTGGATTTTTCCTTCTCCAATCAACGTCAACACATCCCCCAGAGTGGAAATTTATTTTCCCTTCTACCTACTTGTGTTTTGAGTGAATAAACCCATACATGCTTTCTGTTCTTGTGAGTCAAATGCCGAGACCTTTCTGGGATTTCAGGGCCCTCTGATACCCAGCCACAGCTTCTGTTTATGAAGTTGGGGTAAATAAAGGAATTGGGATAAATTGTTTAGGAAATGTATCTAACATCCTAACCATTTTTCATTCATTCGTTTTATTGTGACTTTTATTTCAGGAACTTCCAAGTCATTCTTACTAAGCACATATAGACGTGCACACGCGCACACACACAGACATACACACCCCTACCCTGCTGGGTGGCCTCGATGAAGGGGTGTTCATAATTACCCGCAGAGAGTGAGTAATCTTCGGATTGAGACTTAGAAGCCAATCGTCATGGCCAGGTTTTCGGTAAGACTGTTTCTGCTTTGTTTTTCTTGTGCCAACTTGCAGCATCTTGCTCTTGAGATTTTGCTCAATCATCCCTGCACCTTTTATACACATGCACACGCGAGTGTACACACACACATACACACACACACACACGCAAACACCACACCCTTGAAAATGGCAGCACGGTGTGGCTCCTTTTAAAAGGACATGTTGTGGAAGGCCCCAGCTCTTTGCCAAATGATCCAGAACGGAGTTCCTTCTGCAGCACAAGAAGATCTGAAACCTGAGGCTAAACTGATGCAAACCTAATGACAACCACAGGCCCGAACAACCATGTTCCTGTATTTTTTTAGAATGACATTGGAGCTATCATCAAAGTAGAGAACGGAGATGGCATTGAGTTGGGTTGGAGCACAGCAAGGCTTCGGCACGGTCTCTGGGTTTATAAAATGTACCTAGAAAGGAAGAGAAAGAAAAAGTAGGGTAAAGTGATTTCCTCTTGGATATATTTTTGATTCTTCTCTCCTACAGGCATCATTTACATATAAAACAAAACATTTTTGTTTATCCTGTTTCTCTGCATTGAAAAATATGGGATACCCATCTCTGGAGAACATCCAGAACAAGAAAGGCCATATTCCTTTCTGGTCCAACCACATCTAGCGTACTGAGGTTAGAATTCTGGGTCCCACACTTAAAGAGGAAAATTTACAAATGGGAACATATCCACAGGAAAGCAAATGGGACAACTAAAGGTCTAGAAGTCATGTCATGTAAAAGAAAAAAATTGAAGAAACCAAAGCTAGTCAGGACTTCTTCAGGGGAAGACTAAGGGGCAGGGGGAAAGAGACAAGAGCTGTTTAATTCATCTGGATGGCTAACGTTGCCAAAAGTCTTCTGTGTGGCTCCAGAAGTCAGAACTAGAACTAGTAGGTAGACTTTTTTGTAAAGAGGCAGATTTTGGTTCATTAGGAGGAGAAACATCCTTTTCAAGTCGTAGAACAAAGGAAAAGGCTGACTTGTAAGGTAATAACTTCCTAGTCACTGGAAATGTTCAAGCCCAGACTGGTTGACTGTCAAGATTGTTGTATTGGATGAGGGATAGCATTAGATGACCTTCCCAGTCCCTTCCAACTATATCACTTTGAGAATGATGTCCTAAAGAAGTGGAGCATAAGCTACAAATAGTTCTACTGTTAAGTTACTGCCAAAGTCTTGTGCATAAGCTTTGGACCACTAACCCTGGGTTTTTTCCTACCTGATGAGATACTACTCCTCTTCCAAAGGACATAAACAGATTTTATTTTTTATCAGTGTGAATGGCTTTATACTAATTTATCTACTGTCCCTGATTTGGGTTCCCCTTTAGACCAATGATAAGGTCAGGCTTAGGAGGGAGAAGAAAGCAGGAAAGCTGGCAATACAGGAAGTATTAAAGTAAGGTATTAAAAGAAAAACTTGACCCACCTAGCAATTTTAGCAACAAGTGGTCATTCAGAGAAGTCATTTTAGTCTAGCAAATCTTTACTAAGCACTTTAATATGTATAAGGGGCTATATTAGACACTAGGGAGGTCTCAAATGCTGAATAAACACTACTAGCAGACAGATTTTATCTAAACACCACTTTTATCATATCACTCTCCTGCTCAAGAATATTCAATGGCTCCCATTTTCCTACGCCAATCAAGACTGAATTCCTGAGACTGGCTTTGCAGACCCTTTGCAATCTCATCTCATTCTAATTATCCAAACAACTCCCATTGCTATCAAATAAGGACCACAAAATGGTCTTCCAATAACACGAGATACTCTCTCCTGCTTCCATGCTTTCACTATAGAACACACTCCTTCATAGCAGATTGAATACTAGAATCAGAAAGACCCAAGTGTAGTTCCTGCCTCAGACACTTACTAGCTGTGTGACCCTGGACAGAATATTTAACCTCTTTCAACTTTAGTTTCCACTTGTATAAAATAAGGAAAACAACAGCACTTACCTCCCAGCGTTGTTGTTAAGTTCAAAGGAGATAATATATGTAAAGCATTTTGCAGACTTTAAAGTACTACATAAAACTTAGCTCTTATTATTCAAGGCCCAGCCCAAGTCCCATCTTGTCCATGAAGTCACCCTTCACCACCATAGTTCTTTATGTTGAAACCTTCATGTTGTCTTTGACTCATTCTTCTCCCTTACCTTTCCTCCAGTCAGTTACCAAATCATATATCTCCTACCTCAGAAATCATTTTCATATGCTCCCCCATCTTCTCTGTTTCTATTGTCAGAATTCTACTAGAGGCCCTATTTCAACCAGTTGGGACTGTTTCGTCAACTTCCTAACAGGTCTTCCTTCATCTACTCTCTCCCCTTTCAAATTCTTCCTCCACATCACTGTTAAAATCATCTTACTAATGTACAGATATGGCCAAGACTTTACTCTGTAAATAACAGGGACTCATTGGAGGCTTTTAAGCAGGAGAGAATTCAAGTTCCTTAGTTTGGCATTTGGACTCCCACAAATGTTTCCAACTGAAGTTCAACCCTTCCATAGACTCTATGCCCTAGCCACATTAGACTACTCACTGTCCCCCTAAACACAACCTAAGCTTTCCTGTCTTTGTTGAATACTGTTCCCTTTATAGAGAAGTCCTTCTTCAATCCTTACACCTATTAAATTCCTATAGATCCTTTTAAGTCCATCCTAACTGTCACCTCTCCCATGAAGTCTTCTCTGATCCTCTCCCACCGCCACTTTGAAATGATCATTGTTCCCTCATGCCTCACATAGTTAATCTGTATTGCTCATGCACTTTAACTAACATTCAAAACAATATAGGATATTTATGTATGTATCACATCCCCTTACTGGACTCACAGCTCAACAAGGATAGGGACCATACCTTAACTTTGTATCCCTCCCTGTGCTGTCAGGGTGTTTTGCCTACCAGAGGTGTTTAATAAATGTCTATTGGGCTGAATCATCCTCTTCCCTGAGCCTCATGACTCAATACTTAAATGATATAACATTTTTTGCATTTCTTGCTATTGTTTCATGTGTCTGTAACATGTCTCCAGTTAGACTGAGCTCCTAGAGATGGTCTTTGGCTTCCCATGCTCCTGGTATGAGGTTAAGTATGCAATAAGCAACCGACATCATTTTCATTTCTGAAATAGCAGTGAGTCTTAGCAACTACTGAGCACATCAGCTTGGGCTACACACAAGCCTGCACGCACTCTCTGTATCTATCTCCCAGTGAGGGCTGGGAATGCAACTCAAAACCCGAGTCTCCTAGCAGATGCTGTCCACTGGCATGAACTCCGTGGTTGAACTTGAAGCCTTTGCCCCCTCACCCCCAGCTTTAACTCACCCACTCACTTGGAACAATGGGTTCTCTCTTCCCCTAATTTGAAAGTCACCCTCCAGAAGTACTGCATTAATCTGCTCAAGAGTCTTCCCATATCAACTCTCTACCCTTCCAATACATCCCTCAAATACAGCCAGAATAATATTTCTTAGATATGATTCTATAACTCTTCAGTGGCTCCTTACTGCTTGCTGAGTAAGGTTACAACTCCTTTGCCTGGGATTCAAGGCTTTCCAAAATCCAATACCACTATACCTTTCTGACATTATCTCAAATCACTCCCCTCTGTGAACTTTATGTTCAAAGTTGACCTACTCTCCATCCCCCTCCCTTAGAAAGTCAGTGTTTTTAGCTCTCTCTGCTTTTCTTTCTCTCCTCTCTTGAGGCTTATGATACCCATTTGTCACCTAATCCAGATCCTGATGACCATAATCTACCAGTCCCTAAGACATTTTCCTTCCTTTCTCAGTGAGTTCATGGACTGATCCACCATCTCCTTCTATACCCCAACTCTTGTCCTCATGCTGGGGAGCTATAATTCTCTCCAACATTCTAACTTAGTTCCTCAGTCTATTCAGTTCTGATAACCTACTTCCCCACTCCACCTCAGTCACACACAAAATACTTTGTTTTGTTCCTCTCTAATATGTTTTTTATAGAATTAATATGTTTATCATTTGACATAAGGTATGATAGAATTAAATCTTCAGCTGCAAATAACCTTAGAGATACTCAAGTCCAAATTTCTGATTTTAAAAGATGAGGATAAGAAGGCTGACAGAGGCTTAAATGAATAATTCAAAATAGGTAATAAATTGCAAAGCCAGAATACAAATCCAGGTCCCCTTCCTTGAAATCCAAGGCCCTTCCTATTACACTATGCTGTCTGTCACACATAATATTACATACTATAATATTTCTTATTGATGTTTTGTTATTTAAGTTTGTGTCTTATCTTTTTCCTAAACTGTAATTTCAAAAGTCTAAGAACTCACAGAATTACCAAAACTCTATCTCTATCCCAGTGGTTCACACAGTGGCCTGAACCCAGTAGATACTTAATGAATGTTTGTTGAATGAATGAATATTGTTCAGACATCTCTCCACCAGCTTAGTCAAAACAAAGACCCCAGTCTCTACAAGCAGAGATGGAGTGTGGCCATTTATCACTTCCCTTTGAACCTTCAAGGACAAGAGTTCCAAGGCTAGGGCAGCAGACATAAGAGATTGACTACATGGGCACAGCATTGCAAGTGGAGTCACTGAGGCACTTTGACAAGGACATGGCCATCAATCAATTCTCTGAAAATTTAGACCAGCAGAGGGTCACCTTCCAAGAGTCTACCTAAATTTAGCTCCTTCTTAATACATACAACGAAGAACAATTAGCCCCAGGCACAGTTTTGTTCTAACTCTGACTCTGACTCTGCATTTACCCAAAGGAGAACAGGCCATTATTTCCAACACTTCAAAACAAGAGACAAACTTAATTCCAATTGCCTCGCCAAAAAAACCCCCAAAAAAACAAAAAGCCAGGGACAAGGCATCTTCCTAATGCAAAACTGAAGCCTGATTCTCAGCCAGTTGGGCTTACTCGGTCATAAAACTTCAAAAGCAAGCAAGCTTATGGTGACAAAGACAGAAAGAACCTACCAGTGTCTGAACAATAGCATGGTTTGTGGCATTCATGTAAGAATTCAAGGGAAAAGCACACTCTCCTTCACAATAGTAGGCTGCATAACCTTCAGGGGCAATTATCCAGTCCTGGAAAAAATAGACAGGTCATGAGTTACTTGTTTAATAACCCACAAGGAAGATGAAGACAGAGGGAAACATTGCAATGATATGTACCTTACATTTGCTAGTCATAATGGGGGATACATAGGAAGCAGGAGAGACTGTCCTTTGCCTTTCTTATAATCTAATTGGGAAGATAAATTCCAAGGGCATCATAGTGGGGCATTCTGTATCAGTGAAGGAGAGATGCTGAATATAGGGGAAATCACAGAAGATGGGGGTTGGACACAGAATGGGATTCAAGCTGTTTCATCCACCAGAACAGTGTGTTTATCCTCATGTGACTTCCACCATTCTAGGAACCTCTCTCCAGCACTAGTGCACAAGTGGGACTTCTAGGTGGTGGAATAAAGCACTGGACTTGGATTCAAATGCTTCTTTATCTACTTCACAGCTTGTAATGCTGGGCAAGTCACAATTTTGGTCAGCGTCAGTTTCCTCATATGTAAAATGAGGATAATAATAATAGCTAACATTCATGTAGAACTTTAAGGTTTGCGAAGCACTTCTGCATATGTTATTGCATAATACCTCTAGCACATGCCTTTCAGAGTTGTTTTAAGGACCAAATGAAACTGCGTTGTTGTTAAGTCATTTCAGTCACGTCCAACTCTTCGTGACCTCATTTGTGGTTTTCTTGGGAAAGATACTGGAGTGGTTTGCCATTTCCTTCTCCAGCTCATTTTACAGATGAAGAAACTGAGGTAAATGGCATTAAGTGACTTGCCCAGGGTCACACAGCTAGTAAGTGTCTGAGGCCAGATTTCAACTTAGGAAAATGAGTCTTCCTGACTCCAGGCCTGGCACTCTATCCACTGCACCACCTAGCATCACATGATTCTACATAAATGAAATGTCTTCTAAATCACCTGACACACTTAAAGCACAATTAACAAATGCTAGCTATTATTATTATCATCCTCATCATTGTTATTACTGTAAGGTTCCATCGATCAGCAAACCCCTTGGCATTTCACTCTAACATGGAATTCAGTAAAGTCTTGGTCCTTTCTCAAGGGAGCAAGCTTTCTCATCACCACCTTCTTTTATACCTCGTCACATCAGGTCACGTGACCCTGAGGCAGAGAACGTGAGGACAGCTCTAGGGAGGCCTAAGTGCTATGCTGTGGTCACATATCTCTATTAGCGAGTGCTGTGTATATTTCCTGTGTACTTGTTCCGACTCCCCCATTAGATTAGAAGCTCCAGGAGAGCAGGCATCACAATCTATCTTTTCCTTGATACCTTTAGCAGTCCCTCATAAATAGGGGTACTTAACGTTGGGTAACTCAGCATCGCTTCTGCTGTTACATCAACAGCCAGCAACCCACGTGGTCCACAAGGACCTCCTCTAGCAAAAGATAACACTTCCCACCCCAGTGAACGGAAGCCACTTCTCTCAAGCGGACTCTAGACTCAATATTTTTTTTCTCTGTGGCCACATTCATATATCAGTCAGAGTCACGGCCCATCCATGGTGTAAGCCGAAGCCAGGGGACACAGGCCGTACAACTCAACAGTAGAATATGATTCCTCCCTACGGAAGTCACAAGAATGCTACCTGTGGTCCCACGATCACTCAGCGCTGATGGACTTACCTGCCAGCCCAGATCTCGGAAGCTGACATAGAGTTCGTGTTTCTTGCAGGCTTGCCTCTGGTCACTGCTACTGTTTTCTGAATCAGGAAAGGAGGCAAAAATAAAATACACACTCCAATATCAACTATATTGCCACATCCATGACACAAACACCTAGTCACAGGAATATTTTTAATAACTGGATAGTGGAGTAGTACCCATTTCCCCAAATGAAAATTCAGTCTTTAGGGACCCATGAACTAAAAGTCTCCAGCTCTCACTGCTGACACAGTTTGGCAGGAAGGTTCCAGGAAAGGAGGCACTTACATACCATTACCACCCTTTCCACACACATTCTTTAAAACACCTGTCAGATCCTCATGTGAATTTCAGTTCATTCATTCATTGCACCATATACATATGTATGCATGTATTTATATATGTACATATGTATGTATGTGTGTGTGTATATATGTATGTGGTGAAATTGGGAACGGATTCAATCAAAATAATCAAACCCCCATCTGGCTTCCAGCAGCAGTCTGCAGAAGCCTCTCTCAGTATAATCTCTTTCAGAAGGAGGTTGCTTTGTGTAGCCAGCCAACTTGCAGAGAAACTAGTTCCATCCCATGGAGGGAGTGAGGGGGAATGGAATTACTGTTCTTGTTTCCCCCAGAATGAATCCCCTTCAGAATGTGCTGGCAGAATTCTGAAGGGGCTATGGAGTCAATTACTCTAACATTCCAGAGAGAGAAAAACCAAGGAGGACAGAGAGCTAACTTGATATGGGAGGTTGGGTGAAAGGCCTTGAGACTTCCCTTGGCTATGTGATTCAAGCCTTCTGGGTTGCCAGGAATTTTGCTGATAGGTTACAAGGACTTAAGACAAACAGTGCTGAAGCTCAGAAGAATGACCCTCCCCAAATCATTCAAATGGACATTTAAGCCAACACTGATAACTGATATCCCATCTAGGGGACGATTTAAAGAAGGAAAGGGGCATGTTCATTTCTAATGGGAAATGGATTGGTGATCCTTTTGAACATGGAAGGGAAGGGAAGAGAAGGTAGGAGGAAAGAAGAAATAAAGACAGTCATTAAGTGATAAAAACGCAATAACAATCAGAAATCTGATCCTATCCTCTTCCTTGATCACTAGGTGCTCCCATATGCCCAGAACTACAGGATTTAGAGCTAAAAGGGACCTTAGACATTGTCTAGTCAAAACCCCTCATTTTACAGATGACGTAACTAAAACCCAGAGAATAAGTGACTTGCACATGTAGTACTTTCACACATAGTAAGAAGCTTCACAAGGTTTTGACTCCAGGCCCCCTGAATCAAAACCCAGGGTCCTTTCTAATATTCCTAACCGCTTCTAGGCAACTCCAGAATCCCAGACCTTCTTAAACTCTGTCTGTAAAACTTAGGTATTGGGCAAGGGTAGGACGTGAGCTCACTGAGGGCACAGACTAAATAACATCATGTCTTTGTATCCTCGATACACAATGCCTTGGGCTTCCTCCTCCTCCTTTGTCCAGATGTGTGATTTCATTGATACCGGGACCTCTTAGGTACAGCAACTATTAGCCACAGAAGCTCTAACCACCAATGTAGATTAGCAATTACTGTAACTTAAAGGTCTTAGAGAGCTGAAGTGACTTATTTGCAGCCAAAGAGATAGTTTGTATCAGAGGAACAACTTGAACCCAAGCCTTCCTGACTCCAAGATGGGCAAAAATCCACAACACAACACTGCCTCTCACACAGCAGGCACTTCATCACTGAATTGAATCTGTCCTCACCTGGTGAAACCACTGGGAATCAAATGGACCGTATCTTCCTCCCCTGCATAGACTCCACTGCCCCCATAGAGTAGTCTGATGCTGGATAGAGAAACAAAGGAGTCCTTCCTTCCCTCATCCCAGGACTACGGGTTCTTAATCAATCAGCTGCAAACTCAGCAAAGTTCTAAGAATCAGATTTATACCAGAAAAGGGTTGCTTGTAGGCAAGTTGGTGGTGGTAGCTTTAGCTTAAACCAAACTGATTATTTCAGCTTAGGGTAGAGCCCTGTGACACATCCTAGTTGGGCTTAGGACAGCTTAGGGTAATGGTTGGCTGAGTGCTGCAATGCTACTTAAGATACCAGGCACATACTATCAAGACCAGAGCATCTCCTTAGGGACCTTAGCCAACGAAGAGCAATAGAGATGCATTAAGGACTTTCCAAATGAAAGTCACCACTGATAGCCTCACAGGGTACCACCTGAGGAACAGAAAGATGTTATTCATTTGTTCAGGCCAACAAAGAGCAATAGAGATGCATTAAGGACTTTCCAAATGAAAGTCACCACTGATAGCCTCACAGGGTACCACCTGAGGAACAGAAAGATGTTATTCATTTGTTCAGGCCAACAAAGAGCAATAGAGATGCATTAAGGACTTTCCAAATGAAAGTCATCACCGATAGCCTCACAGGGTACCACCTGAGGAACAGAAAGACGTTATTCATTTGTTCAGGCCAACCAAGGACACTGGCCATAAGTTACCAAGACATCCAATTAGCTAGGTATTCTATAAGGCTGAGGGGTGGGGCACATGTGGGACTTGGATGATCTAGGAAAATGAAACTTCCAAATTCTCTACCAGTAATGGAGGATACTCAGATGATGAAAATCCAAAGACCTTTAGATTTGTTTCCTTTATCTTTTCCCTCAAATTCCTGGTCCAAGCAGATAAAAAGTCAAGATGACTAGTTCAAGATTCATGTTTTTCTTCTGGTGGAGATGCCTAAGAGGAAGGTGGAAGCAAGAAACCTGGCTAATCTGAAACCTGTGTAATCAGCCTCTGGTTAAGTTTACAATGACTAACCATAAATCATTATCCTTGAGCAAGACTGCATGAAAAAGGCTTAGTTTCCCAGTGTTAAAAGATAACTGTATTGTTTATATTTAAATTCAGCTGAAATGAAGGAAGAGAAATGGCAGCTGAGGCACCCATAAGTATGTAAAAGACAAAATCCAAGAAACCAGGAGTAAAACCCATGGTCTCTAATATCTATATACAAAAGCCCAAAGTTTAAGCAAGCAGGAGATACAAATGTCAGGAGACAAATTTGAACACAAAGGTCTCAGGGTGGAAGAGAGATAAAAGTGGGGTAGAGTGCCATTGTATATTAAGAAGGCATACTGAAGTGAGGAAATCCTGGAACCAGAGGGGAGAAACATTGTGGAAAGAATTTAGGTAAAAATCAACAGAGGAGAGAAGTAGAAGTGAGTTTCCTATTAGAATATACTACAGCCCACCTAAACAGAAAGAGGAAACAGATGCACTCAGGAAAGTGATCACAAGCCTGGCGTGCACAGGAGCGCACGCAAGTGCACGCACACACACACACACACACACACACACACACACACACACACACACACACACGATGATATTATTGTAATCATGGTGGGGGAGGGGGGAGAACTTTAATTATCTAGATGTGTCCTAAAGTTCTCTCTGCTAAAAACAGAGCAGCAAATAACTTCAGGATTTGCCTTTAAAAAAGAAAGAATTTCATTCTTTAAAAAATGGAGGAAACAGGGACAGCTAGGTGGCACAATGGATAAAGCACTGGCCCTGGAGTCAGGAGAACCTGAGTGCAAATTCAGCCTCCAACATTTGACACTTAACTAGCTGTGTGACCCTGGGCAAATCACTTAACCTTGATTGCCTCACCAAAAGAGAAAAAAAAAATTGAAGAAACAACAAAAGGAAATTCTATTCTGAACCTGATTCTCACTAGCAGGGAGAAACACACAAGGGGCTACAATAGGTAGAAAACTTTGAGGGGTTTTGAGGAAGGATAGGTAGAAACTCACAGACTACAATTCTACAGAGAAAGTCAGTTTGGGAGGAATGGGAAATTCTAAAGAAAGAAATCCTGAAGACATAAAGGGAAGCAATTCCCATGGAAGGGAAAAAAATGGGAGGATATGAAAACACTTGTGGATACACAGAAAATTTCCTAACCAACTTAGATTATGAAAAAGATATGTACAGAAGATAGAAGCTATCAATCCCTCAAACAACAAGCATCTAGAAATGCCCACTGTGTCAGGTACTGTAGTCACTTAATGAACAAGCAAGGACAAGTAACAAAGAATAAGTCTAAGAGCATAATACTGTAAAACTGATATCAAAAGTGCTAAAGCACAGAATAAGCTGAAGCTAGATAAAGACAACAAAAACGGGAAAGATATTCTTTTTCAGTTGTATTGGGAGAAAAGGGAGGGTCCAAGGGTGGACTGGAGAGCTGCTGGAGGTGGACAGAACAAGAATAGATGACAACAGAAAGAAAGAAAAGCTGCTCAATTCTTACGTTCTCTGCCAAGGGGAATAATTTTTGTACTGGAAATGACACCAAAAAAAGCTAACAGATGCTTAAGATAAATAAGGAGACAATAAGAGAGAACCCAGATGCCACTGATGAATTCAAGTTACTTGACATAACCATTCTGAAAACCAATTTGGAATTAGGGAAAAGTCACTAAACTCTTCATAACCTTTGACTCAGAGATCTCATTACTTCCCATATAGATTAAGGAGGTCAAAGAGAAAAGGAAATACCCTATATATACACCAAGATATTATTAGCAGCACTTTATGTGGTAGCAAACCTGGGAACAAAGTAGGTACCCATCAATTCAGAAGTGGCTGAATGATTGTCGTATCTGAATGTAATAGCATGCTGGGAAATGATGAATATGAGGGATCCAGAGAAGCATGGGAAGATTTGCTTGTCCTGATGTAAAAGGAAGTAAACTGAACTAAGAGAACAACATATACAATGATGGCTATAATGTAAACGAAAAGAAAAGACCTACTTTAACTGATTAATTCTAATGACCAATGAGAGCTCCAGAGAACAGATAATGAAACTCATTTCCCACTGTTCTGTGGAGATGTGGAGTGTTGCATATCCTGTCAGATATCTTAGTCACTGCTGTGTTTGGCGGTTGCTTTTGCTTAACTGTTCTTTTTTCTGTGTTAAAAGAGAGGATTCAATGACTGGGCATGAGGGGCAGGGGAGGAAGGGAGGTACACCTGAAAAGAAATGGGACATAAAAACAAAAGACAATATATTTTTAAATAAATGCCATAACTTTAAAAAATCACAGCATTAAATAATTGCCCAAAGGATGTCACTAACAGGATTTGGTTAATTCCAGCTCAAATTCAATTGTTACTTCCTTTCCATGGTCTCACAGCCTCCTAGACCATGGGTTTATAAGAAGCACATGTGTCCTCTTCCTTCTCGAGCTCTGCCTTATATTTTCCACAAGGCCTGATACTCGGCCAGAGAGGGCTCTTGGGGGAAGGTTTTTGGTCAGTTCAGCTCAGACCTCCAGCACAAGCAGATGTTAATTACAGCCTCAGATGCTTCCCTACCTTATCACCAGATAAACATTTAAATCAAGTTAAACAGAACTGACTTCAGGGAGGGAAGCAGCCAGGGTATAATGGAAAGATCCTTAGGATAAGAGTCTGAAGATCTGAGTTCTAGTCCCAACCCAGCCATTATATCTGTGAGATCTTGGGCAAGTTACCTCCCAATTCTGAATTTCAATCTCTTCATTTATAAAATGAGCGGGCTAGACCAGATTGAGCAATCAACAAGAATTTCAGTGCTTATTCTATGCCAGGCACTGGCCTAAGCACAGGAGGGTATAAAAAGAAAGGCTAAAACAAGGTCCCTTGTTCTTAATGAACTCACATTCTAGTGAGGAAGAAAGAATTAAAAGAACTTGGTATACACAAGATATATACAGTATAAATGCAAAGTAATCTCAGAGAGGAGAAGCTAGCAGCAGTTGGGAGGGAGGAGGGTTGGAGAAGACTCCTGAAGAAAATAGCATTTGAGCTAAATCTTTCAAGAAGCTACTAGGCTGAGGGGAGGAGACAGAACATTCCAGTTCTCTGGAATAGGGGCAGACGGTACAAAAACATGGAGCCAGGACATGGAGTATCATGTACGAGGAATAGCAAGTAGGATAACATGTCTGAATTGTAGAGTTGAAAAGTGTCAGATGACTGGAAAGGTAGAAAGGGGCCTGACTATGAAGGGCTTTAAATACCAGAGGATTTTATATTTGATCCGGAAGAGGGCCAATGGAGTTTATTGAGTTGGGGGGAGGGGGAGTGGTTTGGAGACCTGGTCAGAATCGTGCTTCGGGAAAATCACTTTGGCAGATGAGTGGAGGATAGACTGGATGGGGAGCAATGTGAGGCAAGGAGACCAATTAGAAGGCTCTTTCAATACTCCAAATGAGAGTTGCTGAGGGCCTGTACAAGAGTGGTGGCTCTGTGAATAGTTAGATGATCTCCAGGGTCATTTACAGCTCTAAATCCTATGACCATATCATGAAGACGATTGGACTAACTGATCTATGAGGTCTCTTTGGGACAGCAATATCAACTCTATTTGCCATTCCATTTTTGTATTTCTACAAATGCATGCTATTTTTAACTGATAAGATGGATCATGGCCCACTATTAACAAAGACGAAGAATTTTTTTTAATGCCTTTCTAAGGACCTGGGAAAGTTTTTCAAAGTCACTTAACAGAGAAATCACACAATTACCACTGAAAGAAACAGGAATGATATCACATTTATAGCATCTCATCAGCTGAAGTGAACTACAGGAGGTCATTTAGGCCAAATGCATGGAGTCCTGACCCCACAATGACATATACCTAAGCCATCATCCAAAAATAAAGACTGTCTTATTTTTTAAAGCTATGGCCCTACATCCTAATATTCTTAAGTCTCTCATCAACTTACCCTTATAAAAGTCTTTTTTAACCGTATGCCTAAACTGAATCCCTCACAACACAGAGTAATTTCAGCCTGCTTCCTCCATCCGTCTACAACATCATTCCTTAGCTTCCTGTCCAGCACTTTAGAGAGTTTTTTTTGGGGGGGGGAGGTGGGAGGAGTTAATGATAATTTCTTTGACTATTACTAGTGCCCTTTCCCCATCTGTATACCTGCAATATTGGACATCCTCAAAGCTTCCTGGTTCTTAGGTGTCTTTGATCTGTTTTGGCTGCGTTGCTTGCTTCCTGTAGACCGGACACTACGAAGATGTACTTCTGTGGCCTTGAAGAATGCTACCATGAACGGCTGCTTGTTCTGGGGACCATGTCTTCCAACCAGACCTGCCATCTTGGGATTGATGCTTTGTCCTGAAGGGATATCAAATATACACAGAGAAGGATCACCAGGGGAAGACAGGATCAAATCCGCAGCCATGCCAACACAATAAGAAGTTGCCAAATAACCAGGCCTGGTTACAACAGTAAAAGGACTTTGTAAAGAAAATGCAGTGATCATTGCATATATGTAATTAACTTTGCTTGGAATCTAATACATCAGACTTAGAAACTGGACAAATCCCATCCCCTAAAATAACAGATCAGCACAAGAGACTTCTTTAAAACCTGTGTTTAAAATAAAACTCCCCCATCCATAATTATTTTACCTTAAATCCACTCAACATTAGATTTTTCTGCATTCTTTAGAGGGGTTTCTTTAAGTTCACCAACCTATAATTTGAAGTGATTCTATAAAAGAAACCATAAAATGTAGCCCCTAGGAACTGTAAATTCCCCCTGGAAGGTTATTAAGTCAAAATAAAAATGCCTTGCATGAAACCTTGACACTGTTCCAGATATATTAAATTTGAAATTTGCAAACAGTTTCCATCTACAGGTCTGATCTGGAGGTAGTTTGGTTATTGTGTAGCTGTCAAGAACAGTCCTCAAGTCTGGAAAAACCCCATGCCTCTAGGCTGTGGAAGTGTGATGAGCGAATGAGGGCTCAAGTCCTTCCCACCGACACGTTTGAAGATGAGGGAGATCTCAGGACTTCTGAGGCAGAGCAGAGGAAGCACTAGGAATCGTCACTTGCACATCATACTCAGTCTGTTGAGGATAAAATCTTCTCCTAATCCTAGAAGGAGCATTTCTGAATCCTGAAAAAAACTAACCACACCTTTGAACAGTAGGTCTTTCTCCTTGGGTCAAACAATGCCAACCAAGATAAGAAATCATTGTTGGCCATGTCCATCTAGGAGAGAGGGACATATTTTCAGTCAGTGAACAGTTGCTGGAGGAAAAAAGTCACCAGAGGGCTAAAAAACCAGTTAGAGAATAACCCCTTGGGACCAGAGCCACAACTGACATGGTAAGGTAGATGTGTCATGTATATCCATCCCTGCCCCTGTCGTTTCCTATACAATTTGTGTCACTCTTAACATGGCCAATGATCTTCCCCTCTTTTCTTGTATTGACAAATTGTAGAAAGTCACAAGACAGGTTGGCATGGGCTTTAGGGATCTCTTTTATCAAACACCTACTACATTCAAGAGAACTGTGAGAAGCACTGTAGGGGGCTACAAATTTACATACGACCAACACAGTGGTATTCAAAACCATCTTCAATTTAATGAGACAGCTAAGAAAAGACATTATTTATTACCTTTAGGTGGATGGAATGGGTAAACTTGGATGGACAATGGATAGAATACTGACTGTATTTAGGGTCAGGAAGACCTGAATTCAAATCCTGCCTCAGATACTTCACTAGTGGTGTAACTCTTGGCAATTCATTTAACTTCTCTGAGCCTCAGTTTTCTTATCTGTAAAGTAGGGATAATAATAGTACCAAAATTCAGAGGATTTTTGTGAGTATCAAATCAAATGCAATATGTAGCTCTTTCCAAACCTAAAACCATTGTCTAAATGCTAGCTATTAGCTATTATTATTAACTTTTTCTAGCTGCCCAAAGCATAATGTACATATAGTAGTGTGCATGTAGGGAGACAAGTACACAAGACAGTGACTAGCTCTCTCGGAAAATATGAATAGCATTTATGAAAACAGGATGCATGGTCTATAAGAAGGCTAAACAGAGATCTTAAGGAGGAGGTACTCATTCATAGGCACTGAGGGAATATATAAAGGTCCTTAGGAAAGAGGATGATGGGTTCAACCCCAGGAGGGTGGCTTTTCTCAGGATACCATTTTCTTGTTCCCTATGGGTGGTACCTCAAACAACCCCCATGCCTTCAGGGATATTCCTCATGAACATAACAGCGGAAATTATTCATTACAATCATTTATCTCAATGTCTTCCTGTAAGTATGGACTAAAATGTCAAACCAGAAAGGAGTTCCATTTTAAACACATCTTCCCTACCTCTAATTCAGCAATAGAAATTTTGGTCCATCACGTACGTTGAGCTCTTGGATCGTCCAGCACTGTCTCTATCTTTAAGACCCATTTCATTTTCTCCTTTGTCTTCACAAAGGAGACAAACAGGATATGAAGCAATAAGAAATGGACTAAGGAGGCTCAAGCAGTCAGCTGCTGCTCATAGGTACTGTCAGTAGAGCCTATTACTGGGCTTCGTTTGGGAGAATGCCTCCAGCTAATGAATCACTCCACTGTTTCTCTACTCACTTGCTTCAGCTTAACCAAACTTAAGAATAACAAATTCTTCTTTAAGTGCCTTAATTCCTATTTTTGAATTCCAAGCTGGGGTGATTACGAGGGAGCAGAGTTAATGCTATTTCACAGCAATGAAGATAGGTACAAGGCTCTTTACTGGAAATAACCTTCCGGAAGCAGATCAAATGTTTGGTCTACAAAGAGATTTTGCACAATGAATATGGCAGACAGTGGAGAGCAAAGCTGTAGCGAACTGCCGATGTGATTTTTGACAGGAATCAACACTGACAGAGATGCTGCCCACTAAGGAAGAGGCCAGTTCAGAAGATAAAAGGAACTGAAGAATGTGGGTTGAAAAGAACTGTTCTCTCAGATGAGTTATCGGGCTTCAAGTTGTTCCTTCATTCCTTTTTCTTTTTCCTAACAACAACAACAACAAAAGACTTCCAAGCAATGACACAGAATGATGGTTTTTATTCACCCATGCAAAAATAGGTAGGATTAGACTATGCTACGCCCCACCTGCTTGGTAAGCGGGTGTCCTAAGGGGTCCCTTGTCTCCCAGCTGCAGATAGATGCTGTGGCTGCAGATAGGTATTCACAGTTCGATCCAGGTTCTTCTAGGCTTGGGGTCCATGAACTAGTTATTGTTGTTGTTTTTTAATTTTGAAAACTGTATTTCAATGTCATTGTAATCTTATGTATCTTATTTCATGCGTTTAAAAACAGTATTCTGAGCAGGGGCCCATAGGCTTCACTCAAAATGTCAGAGAAGTAAATGGCAACATAAAAAGGTTAAGAACCTCTGCTCCAGGTGAAGTCTAGGATTTTAAAATATAAAATAAACATTTGCCTATAATAATTCAGAGACATATTATTTTTTTGGTCCAATAGACCCCTACCTGGAATTCTTTGGAGGAAAATCTCCAACTATGGCTTGGCACTCATACCTGATTCCTAATTTTCTATTAAGACTCTCATCATCTTCCTCACTTTGCATAACCCAAATTTTCTTAATGTATTCATATTAGAATTTCGAATACATTTGCTACATGAAAGAGAAAGATTAGTAAAACATAGTACCAAGACTCAAACAGCTATTGTGTCTACCATTCCCACCCCAATTTACCACTTTACTCTCCTGAAGGAAATGAAAACAAAGAGCTAATATTTATTTGTCCCCACCAACATCACAGTCATATGTGGGAGGAAAGACAAAATCTGGAGGCCAAAGATTACCAGCATTCCCTCAGAGATCTCTGAGGGACTGTCCCAAGACCCAGAGTCCAGCAAGATCATTGATTATGCTTTGTTTCTGAGGAAATTTCTTGTACATTCTGGCACAGCCATCTCTCCCAGGGAGTACCCACATTGCTAATCCTAAATTCCAGACACAAGAGTCAGGGGGGAGGGTCATCTAATCATAGGCAAAGTGTCATAGGCAAAGTGACCCCCACCTGAAATCTCTGTCATGCCAGCCTCCCTTCCTCTCCGTCTCTCCCTCCTTTTTGCCTTCCCCCAGTTGCCTGCCTCTCTGGCACAGCTGTCAGGTGGTCTACTAATGGTGGTCTTGATCTGATCTCAAGTCCAATCCATCTTTTAAAAGAGATCCACTCAGGGCCACTATACACAACATTCTCATCATTTTGGAGCTAGGTACCTCCCTTCGATCTTTGGATTCTTCTCCACAGAGTGCAGGTCCAGGTTCGCATTGCCACAGCATCAAAATCAGAAGAATGCAAAGGGAAATTCTGACTATATAAATGAAGGGACAACCTGTTAAGGGCTTAAAAGTTTTGTAAATGAAAGTCAAAATATAAAGACTCCATTCTAGAATTTTCTTCATCTCTAGATCAAAACAATAACCCTAGACCATAGGATTTAGAACTAGGAGGGACCTTAGAGGTTATAGAGTCCAACCTCTTCATTTTACACATGAGGAAACTAGTAGGGTCATAGAGAGGAAGTGACTCACCCAAGATCATACAGATAGCAATCAGAAGAGGGAGGATTCAAATCCCCAACCTCTACCTCCAAATTTAATGCTATTTCCACTGGACTCCCATTCTCCAAGACAAATATCCATAACCAACCTGATTTTAGGAAACAGGAGTTTGTTTTCAATAAATTTAAGAAGGTTCTAATCTGAATCAAGAACTTTGGTTCAAACAAACTATGCTGATTTCATCGTCTCGGGACATAGCATGACTAGCTTCAACATCCAGCTTCCTCATAGACGGAAGGAATCAAGCCCTGCATGTTCTTAGTCTCAGAAAGTCAGGAGTCTTATTATCTAGGCACTGACATTCCAGGAAAGATAGATCCCAGAATTATCGTTTGTTTGTTTGCTGTTCTTGTTGTATTGTTTTGGTGGAGTAGAGATTAGCTTCTGGGTACTTTTCTTCAGACAAGAAATAAAGGAGGGCAGCAAAGAGGGAATACCCCTTTTATACCTAATAAACTCCTAGATCACAGAACCATAGATTTGGAATGGAAAGAAATCTTAGATGTCATCTAATACTATCCACTCCGACATTTTACAAATAGGGAAACTAAGGCCCTTAGATGTTAAATAACTTATCTGTGGTCACAATAGGGAATAAGTAGCAGTCAGGATTTTAAACTAGGTCCTCTTCTTCCACACCCAGCACTTTTCCTACCACACTACAAAATTAGTCCAGAGACCTAAAGAAGGATGAAGGAAGGATGAGCTCTATGTGCTAACTGGTTGATCCGTGCCAAACTTAAACCAAGGACCAGCTTTCCATTTCTTCTCTTGCATCCTCCCTTGGTAACCAGCACCAGGCCCGGCACACAGATATTTGCTGCCCCTTTCTACCATTTTGGCAAGGCAGAGCTGTACACAATAGTCTAGTTGCCAGTGATTTGATTTCAAGAACTGAGTGGTTATAAATCCCCAGGAAGGTTTCAAGGGTAAGTATTCCCAGCACAACAGGGAAGGGAATATTGCCTTATTCCTTAAGCTCTGTGCTAAAAGATTCCCAGATTTTCATACCAACCTAATTATGAGCCTCTTTTCTTGGTCATAAGAAGCAGTAACTTGAATTAATTTTATGGCTATACACAAGGCTGCTGCTATTTGGGTGCTCTGTGTATCTACCCAAAGCAACCTATTACACAAGAAGGAAAAAAAATGTCACTAGTCCAAGAATAAGAATATATAGCTTTCACTAAATACTTAATCATTAATGCTTGTTAGTATGTTATTAATTAATGCATAATAAATAAATGCTTGATAAATACTTGTTGACTGACTGATTGATTTGTTCATTCCATTATTCCAATTATTAAGGGAGAGGAAAGGGAGAACTAGTTTCTTATAGTTGCATTCTCTTCCAAAAGGAAAGAAATACATTCCCTCTTTAATAATAGCATCATTCAGGAGATGATACAGTATTCCAACCATACACATAACACATGGACTGTGTTTCCTCTCTGATACATGTTGGTCATTTGGATTTCCCAATTTCACAGTGTATGCTACAAGAGATGTGCTCTGTGCATCATGAATACATAAGCCATCATGTCTGATAGAGCAATCAGAGAATCCATGCCCTATTCCCACCTTCCCATATGGATGGGTACGTGGACTTGCTATGTCATGGAATCATAGCATCATAGACGTGGAGCTGGAAGGGACCTCAGAGGCCTAACTTTCTAGTCTAACTTTCCATTTTGTAGATAACAAAACAGAGGCCAAGGGAGTCAAATGACATGCCCAGAATCACACAGGTAACATGTATCAGAGTGGCATTTGAACCCAGGTTCTCTGATTCCAGACACAGTCTTGGGAAAAGTAGCTAATCTGTCTGGATGTCAATAAAAATGGATTCTTTCTCCTTTCACACACACACACAAAATAAGCTGAATGCTTTAAGCTATGTCAGTTCTAGTTCTCTCATTTTGTACTTTGGGGTAAACTGAGGCTTCTTAGAGCTAGCATCTAAAAAATGAGCATAAGAAACATCTCCTCTCTCTTTACCCATTCTGAATTCCAATACAAGCTTTGGGATCAGGGTTTCCCCTGGCCAGCCAAACCTGTACCCGCACATAGCTGGTAGCGTATCTGCTATGCCTTTAGCCAGAGAATAGGGCAAGGATCCACCCAGAATGGCAGAAGCCCAGGAAGGAGCAACAGCCATTTGGATCAGGTCCATTTGGGTGGCATCTCATTCAGTCTCTCTGCCCATCCCATAGGAGAAGGCAGAAAAACCCAATGCCCATCAGTCTGAGAAGTTCCAAGTGGCCTAATTCAGACAGGTACTGGGTCCACCAGTCTCTTGTCAAATCCTTTTTTTTTTTTTTAAAGAAAACAGAATTTATAGCAGATACAAGGATGATGAGCCACTTCTTTCTTCATCCCCACCCCCACCTTTAGTGGCTTGGCAGAGAACAAAACCTCTAGGACCTGAGTGGATTGATTGTCTCTGGTCTAACCAGCTCTGCCCTGGCTCTCCTGAGTTTGAGCACTAAACAGCCTGAGCAGGAGCTGAATTGAGCCAGGTCTCTGTGTCCAAGCATTCAAAGGGCCTATTGCTGATCTCTAGGGCATCAAAGGAGTGAGTCCTCTGATAAGGAAAGCATGCAGGCTTATCTCTCACAAATCACTTGAACTGATGAAACCTAAGAGCTAATCTGGGCCAGGAAAGGAACTTATTTCTTCCTATGGGTCCAGGTCCCAGCCTACAAGGGGGTTATACATGACCACAGTGAAGAGATCTCAGTGGGGCATCCAGGAAGCTGATGAGTAAGCCCCTGTGGTATGTCCTCTTCCAGAAATGCAGCAGAAGTGAAGACACCATCCAATAGAATATGCCTCCGATGACAAGGTGGGTGGTTTTCCTTCCAGCTGGGCTGTTTGATGCTTGAATGATAATCCGTCTGTGCTTCAGATTCATCTCCCAAAAGTCAAAGACTACTGCTTATGGTTTATACTCAGAAGGACAAGCACTGGTTTTTGTTTTTTGTTGTGGGGTGGGTTTAGGGGTTTGGTTCTTTGTTGTTGCTTTTTTTGGGGAGGGAATATACCATATATTTGAGATGCTACTATTTCCTCCACACAAGGATTTTTCTTGATCATCCTCAGCTAGGAGAACTTACTCAAAATGATCTGCAGGAGAATAATCCCAGAACTTCACAGGGGCTCCCTTCTGTCCAATACATGACTGGGTCAGATGGCTTTACATTTATGGAGAACTAGGTACTTTCCAAACCCCCTTCCCCCCCCACACACACACATCCCTCCTTCAGAACTGAGACTTGATAGAGGAAAAAAAATGGAATATCCAAAATGCTATTGGCCCAATTAAACATTCAGCAACAATAAGTAGCTGCAGTTCCAAGAACCAAGCCCAACATTCCTCTCCCCCACCCCAGATAAATTACCCTCAGTTGCCCCCCAGTTTGATCCAAAAGGCCATGTTACCCTTTCATTGGGCTCCTAAATGGGAGGGGCACAGACAAGAAGAATCAGTGAACTTGAAAAGCTACTCAGAAGTAGTATCTGGCAGCAAAGTGGGCCTGCTTCCTAACCCCTCCAAGCCCTCAGTCTCTCCTATAGCCCTAGCCACCATCATCCTGGGGACCTCATTCAGGATAACCACTGCTGAGCAGCACCACAGTATCAAGCCCTGTAGCACTGCAGAACAGAAAGGGAGAAAACATACACATTCATCAGCAAGCCTGGGAACCATCCCAGCTTAATTAGAAATACATTTTCTTGGGAGGAGTGACTGATGCAACCAACCCCACCTACATCCTACTCACAACTGGTTTGCCTCATCAGCTCAAGGCGAAGTGTTTACAGGGATTCTACCAGAAGGCCTTCTCACTCTACTTTTTTCCAAAGGAAGTAGAGACAACATTGATTCCTTAAGACTAAGTGCCAGTACTCTTATTTGGGGGGAGGGAGGAGAAGGGGTTGGGAGAGAGGAGATGAATACTGCAGAAAGCTGTTCACTCTGTCAGATTTGTGGTGGGGCTGGGGGCAAACAGTCAATAAATCCTTGTGAGTGAGATTTTAGATTGCTTTGGTCAGTATTAGTATTTTGGCAAGTACTTGGCCATTTTTTGTCCCTTTAAAAACCGGGGGCTTTAAATAAATAAATAAATAAATAAAGATCAGGGGTTTTAAACCTATTTTGTGCCATGGTCCCCTCTGGCCTTCTAATGAAGCCTATGGACCCCTTCTCAGAATAATGTTTTTAAATGCATAGAACAAAATCTGTTGTATTACAAAGGAAACCAATTATGTTGAAATATGGTTATAAAAAACATTTTTTAAAGAAGTTTATAGACCCTAGGTTAAGAACCCCTGCAAATGGAATGCCTTTAGCTAAGACTGCCACGTTAGGAGAAAGAGGTGGATAGAAAGGCATGCACCTTTCTAGATGTTCTTCAGGAGCTTTCTCCTGGTCCACTCTTCTCCATCCTCTGCTTCCCTAACTCATCCCTCATCTCAAGTTAAAAAATCAAGGGTCAAAAGCAAGGCTCTTCTTGCATAAACCAGTGATTATTTAAATCTCTATTCTTTTATTTAATCTAGAAAAAAGAGGGGGAAATTGCTTTCTATTCCTACTCAAAATGCTGCAGCTGTTTGGGGGGAAAAAATCTTGCCTCTTAATGAAACTCAAGCATAAAGCATTCAAAATATCCCACTTAAGTAGATGATTATTGGCTGTGCTAAAACTAGTCTGGGCTAGAGCTCTTCGACGCACACTCGGGTTCTCACTGCTGACAACAGGCCTTGGTACTCACCATCTAGACTCTCCACTGACAGCTGCAGGCCGAGGTTGTGCTGTGGGTTCACCACCCAGTGATTACTCGTGGCTGTAATGTCAAATACCAGCCAACCCTCCTCCGTAGCCCAGAGAGTTCGACTGTCAAGCAGAAACAAATCGGAATCCCTAAAAGAAAAAGAACACAGGGCTATGAGTCACCTGGGGGAGAGGTCATTAAGGAACAGTTTGATCACTGAGCAAAAAATGTACAACCATGCCATAGAAAGGAGCTATAAGGGAGTGTAGAAGAAAACAGGGAAAGAAAATTCTCCAAAACAAGACACGTAAGAGAGTCAGTAACTGGCACTTTAATGAAAGTTTCAGGGGCCTTTTTTCTTCACCATAAGGAGAGAAGAGGAGGCGTTGAAAGGAACGGAATATGCATATATTAAGTACCTACTACTTGCCAGGCACTGTGATAAACTTAGTTTTACAAATATTATCTCATCTGATAATGAAAGGGAAAGGAAATAGATGCAGAAACAGGCACCCAAGAAAATACTTTGTAAAAAATACCCCTTGGTATTATTATGTTCACTGAATAAAGGCCATGCAACAATTAACTGCATATTGTGTGCAATAATAAAAATAACAGCTCGAATTTATACAGGCCTTTCTGAAGCTCCTTCTCACAAACTACTGAGGTTATATATTGGAAGCATTACCATTTCCATTATGCAGAAGGAACTAGGAATCAGAGCAGCAAAGGGATCACACAGTAAAGGGTCACACAGCCTAGGAAGTATCAGAGCTGGGGTTGGAGCCAGTCTTGTGACTCCAAATCCAGTGATCCCTTCACCATGCCGAGCTGCCTGTGAAGACATTCTGATAGGCATTGTAGACACAAAAATGAAACGTGACAAGTCCACTAATAATATAAGGGCTGGGAGTCCAGGTACCAAGCTCTCCTCTCATTGCTCTGACTGTTCTTCTAATGTTATTTCATCTCTTCTAGCTTCACTTTACCTACAGTAAAAATGAGTATATATATATATATGTATGTGTGTGTGTGTGTGTGTGTGTGTGTGTGTGTGTATAAACACCACAATTTCTTTGTCAGCTAAGTCTACTGTGGAAAAAAACATCTTAAAGTGCTTTGAGATCCACACATAGTCAATATTAATATACAGGGTACAAAGAAATGTCTGAGTGAAATTTCTACCAGTCATATTGCCAAAGCTGATTCCCATCAGGGACTCTTCCTTATGTTTGCTGCTGCTGTCAGTGTTCACCAAACACTCAAGATATTTTTAATTTCTCCCCCTTATTCTCTCAGGAAAAAACTCCTTTTAATTCAACGAGTCTTTCAGGATGAAAAAGCTTTATTCTGGAATTAAGGGGAAAGGTAAAACAAAACTAAATGATGTCCAGAAGCATAAGGATACAAAGACCTAAAAACCTTTCGTGTGCCCTTTCTGTGGCATTTGACGTTCACATCTAAAGGGTGACTCTGTGGTGTTTAATCCTTACCTTTCCCTGTACTCTCCAGCAGGTGGTTACATTCAGGGCAATTGAGTATAATAACTATCCCTCTCATGTACTTGAATATTTAAGTTTCTATGACTATGAATTTCTATCTCTGATTTTACTTAAATGACATTTTTGGGAAGGGAAGGAGTGGAATATATGAAGTCCAGAAAGTGAATGACCATCCAGCAGCTCAAATAATTAACTGTTGTAAGAAAAATTTTTACTCCCCATCTTTGACCAAATTAGCTTACCTTGGGCACAAAACTGATTATATCACTTTTGTTCTCAAGGTCTTCTACTGGCTCCCTATTACCTAAATGCCAAGCTCCTCATCCTGGCATTCAAGGATCTCTATGATCTGTTACCAGCCTAATTTTTAACCTTATTTCACACTATTTCCCCCTAATATGTACTCTGTGTTCTATATAAACTGGATTACTCCCTGTCTACTACACATCTTGTATTTTCCACCTCTGTACCTGTGTTCATGCTTTTCCTTATTCCTGGAATGTAGCCTTCTCCTTATTCTCTGTATATTGAATTCCTATCTATCCTTTAAGGCCCAACTCAGATGAAATCTCTTCCATTAAACCTTCTCTGGTCTCTCTCCCTTCACATCCCCCATAGTTCTCAGGATCAATCAGGAAACATTTATTAATTACTTACTATGAGTCAGGCACTATGCTAAGTGCTAGGAATACAAAGAAAGGTAAAAAAACAGTCCCTGTTCCAAGGAGCTCACAGTGTAATGAAAGAGACAACATGCAAATAACTATGTACAAACATGCTATATTCCAGATAAACTGGAAATAATCAATAGAAGGAAGGCACTAGAATTAGGAAGGATTAGGAAAGGTTTCTTGTGGAAGATGGGATTATAGCTGAGACTTGAAGGAAACCAGAAAATAAGAAGGTGGAAATAAAGATGGAGAATCCCAGGCTTGGTAAAAATTCCTGGAACTGGGAGTTGGAATTTCTTGTTGAAGAGCAGCAAAGAGGCCCATGAAGGGGAGAGGGGGAACAGATGGAGGTAGGGGTGGGAGGGTAGTGTAAGAAGCCTAGAAAGGTGAGGGGAGGAGGGGATGTTTGATCCTGGAGGTGATAGGGAACCACTGGAGTTTATTGAGTGAGGGTTGGGTGGGAGTAACATGGTCAGATCCTTACTTCAGGAAGATTATTGATAGTTAAGTGGAGGATGGACTGGAGTGAGGAGAGACTTCTGGCAAGGAAACCAACCAGCAGACCATTGAAATAGTACAAGAGTGAGGTAATAAGGAATTGTACCAGGGCTGTGGCAGTGTCAGAGGAGAGAAGGGGTCATATGCAAGAGAGGTTATAAAGATATATTCAATAGGCCTTGGCAACAAATTGGACATGGGGAAGAGAGGGGGTGGTGAGAGTGATGAGTTGAGGATGATGCCTAGGTTGCAAGTTTGAGGGACTGGAAGGATGGTGGTGCCCTCAACGGTAATGTGGAAGTTAGGAAGAGGGGAAAGTCTGGGGGGAAAGGGGAATAATGAGTTTAGTTTTGGACCTGTAAGTTTAAAGTATCCATGGGACATCTAATTCAGGGCAGTTGGAGATGGTATTTCCTAATCTGAAGGCTAGGAAAGAGGTTAGGGTTGGATAAGTAGATTTGAGAACCACCAGCTTAAATGTACAGAAGCTGGTGAGATCACCAAGTGAAATAGTATAGTGGGAGAGAGGGCCCAGAATATAATCCTGGAGTATACCCATAGTTAGTGGGTGTAATCTGAATGAAGATCCAGCAAAAGGAGACTGAGAAGAAGTTGTCAGACAGGTTGGGGCAGAACCAGGAAAACCTAGAGAGAAGAGAGTTATCAAGGAGAAGAGAGTGATGGAGAGGTCAAGAAGGATGAGGACTGAGAAAAGACTAGACCATTGGTAACTTTGAGAGAGAGCTGTTTTGGTTGAATGATAAAGCTAGAAGCCAGGCTACAGAGAGTTAAGAAGAGAGTGAAGGAATAGGAAATAGATGAAGCTATTGTAAGTGGCCTTTTCAAGGAGCTTGGCTACAAAAGGGAGAAGAGAGATGGGATAATAGCTAATGGGATAGATTGATTAAGTGAGGGTTTTTGAGGATAGGTGAGACATGTGCATGTCTGTGAGCAGTAAGTAGAGAAGCAGACAGTAGACATGAAGAGATTAAAGATAAGCAAGCAAGGGGGGATGATAGGTCAATCTATTGGAGATCATAGATCATAGATTTAGTGGTAAAAGGGACCTTAGAGGTCATCAAATCCACTCTCCTCATTTTACAAATGAAGAAACTGAATCCCAGAAAGGCTGAGGGACTTGTTTAGTATCACACAGTAAAAGTCTTGTGGTGGGATTTGAACTTAGGTCTTCCTGACTCCCAGTCCAGTGCTCTATCCAATAAACAATACAGCATATTGGTGATTACCTCTCTCTCCCCTGTATGCGATCAGATAGTAATGTGTATACCTGTCATATTTTCCACTAGACTAAAAGCTCCATGAGGTGAAGGCCCATGTGTTCTGAAACTTTGCCTCATTCCTCACCTTCCCCCCACCCTAGCCCCTAGTACCTTGTACAACATTCTGCACATAGTGGGCATGTAACAAGTGCTTGTCATACCAAAGTGGTAATTGAATAAAGTTCTGAAAAATATTAATGGACATGTTGTAGTTTTCTATGGGGACAGTATCTTTTGCCAGAACGCAGGAGTTACACTTGGGTGATGACTTTGCTGGAAACTTTTACAGGAAAATGGGAAAATGTGAGATCCCTGGACAAGCCCATTTGGACCATAGAACAATGACAACTTGGGGAGCAGAGCTATGTCTTTTAAACAGGGAATGCCTTGCCAAAATGGTGTTAAACATTCTTTTATTACAAACCATGAAAGTGAGGGCCAGATTTGTTGACTCATCTGTGAATCAATGAGCGTTTGGGGACTAGGGAGTTTTTTAGCTTTTTTTTTTTCTTTCAGTTTTCTCTGGCCTTCAAAGGAAGGAAAGTGTGTACAATTTTTTTTTTTTTGTAATGTGTTTGAGAGGGCCAGGGCAGTTAAAAGATTGGCAATGAGCACAGAGTTTAGGAGGGAGAGGCAAAATCTCTCATTCTGAGATTAAGCCCCCAAAAGGGTGGGAATCTTCACATTCTTGTGGTAGACATCCCCCTAACTCAATGAAAGGTTTGAGGCCTGTTGGTTACCCTCAACCTGGTTTAGTCCATCTGCAGAGATGGTTTACTGGAGGTGGCCACTGCACATGCTACAGCTTTGTGGAGTTGCAAGAGAGAATTGAGTGCCAGGTAGACACCAAAGGTGTAGGAACAGTCCTAAAAAGGGCTCAGCAAGTCCTCATACCAGAGGGCTTGTCCTCCCTGAATATGCCATATGCCCCTCTCTCCTGGCAGAATGGGTGGATGAGAACAATTTGTTCCAATTTGTTCTTAGAGCTAAGTCAGACATCAAATATGCCAAGGTCATCTACTGCATCCTGGACTACTACCAGTTGTCCTGACTTATTGCCACTGGACTTCAATGACCCTAGGAGAAAGAGTGAGGCTGACAACTTTATGCAACTCTGTCTTGCTTAAATCCAATTCATGCACAAGTCAAGACATCATTCCATGACTTCATTGGTCCTCTTTGTAAACGAGGGATGAAC